TCCGTCCGCCCCGGGTGGTGGGTAGCTGGGTCTCCCGCGTGGGGATTCAGGAATCCCGGACCCTTCGCTGCTGATTAGACAACAAGGGAAGGGGGGGTCTCCCAGGAGGAGGAATTGGCCTGCAAGTCACATGGGCTTGGCACTGTAATGGGGGGAGGGCTGGGAGACAGACCCTCTCCGTGTGCCTGGGAGGGGATGGAGTCCACAGCTCCAGCTCGGATGGGGACAGAGGCTGCAGGGCAGGAAGTGGTGAGGGTTGAGAGGGCTTGGGACTTGGAGAGGCCTGGCTGGCGGGGGCGGCGGGGCACTTGACACCCATCAGGGCAGGTGCCAGCTGTGTGGTGAGATTTGTCGGGCCCAGGGGAGGTCACTGGGCCCCTGGCAAGGAGGAAGCTCCAAGCTAAGGAAGTCACTGGTATTAAAAAAATCTTCAGCCCCTCCCAGACGACAGTCCAGGTCCAGGCAGCCCCACTGGGTGCCCAGGCCTGTGTGCCCCAGGCTCCGGGAGACCCTGGAGAGGACCCAGGAGACCCCACTCAGTCGCTTCCTGTGCATAGAGGTTCCGTGGAGGTTCCCGGGGGCCAAGTCCAAGCTCAGGGGCAGCGCGGATCCCGGAGGCGGGACGGCGAGGTCACCGGGTGACAGGACCCTCGAGCCATTTTTTTTTCTTTACTCTCTGGCTGTATGTTTTTTCTTTTTTCCTTCTTTCTTTTTTTGAAAGGAAGAGTTAGAGAGAGAGAACTTCCATCTGTTGGTTCACTCCCCAGGTGGCTGTAAAGGCCGGAGCTGGGCCAGGCTGAAGCCAGGAGCCAGGCGCTCCACCCACTTCTCCCACGCGCGCAGGGGCCCAAGCACTTGGGCCGTCTCCCGCTGCTTTCTCAGATGTTTGAGCAGGGAGCTGGGTGGGAGGTGGAGCGGCTGGGACCGGCACCTGTGCCGTAGAAAATGGTGGCCTTGCGGGCGCAGGCTTAACTGACCCGGTGTTTTCCTTAGCAGTGTCCTGATTCACCCCTGCAGCCGGTGCAAACATTGTCTCCATCTGACAGGCGCACTGACAGCAAGCACCTGCCAGGCCACACAGCCAGTGACAGGTGGAGCTGGGATCAGACGTCAGGCAGCGGGCGCCAGGCCACCTCTGGAATCCTGTCCGTTCACTCCCGAGTCATCCTGAAGGAAGCAGCGGGACCCAGGCCCTGGAGAGCCAAGTGCAGGAGAGGGGACACCAGGAGGCCGCACTGGGCCTGCCCCACCTGCCCTGGGCGGACCAGCCCTCCCTCTGCCCCGGTGGCGCCGCCCGGCTCTCCGCACTGTAGATATTGGCTCTGATTGCCAAGGCGGCCTCCCCGGGTCACGCCAGGGGGAAAGGCAAGGGCGTCACTCTGCCCCAACCTGACACATGCCCCCCACCCCGTCCTGTGCCCGCCTGGGAGCCGCCCCTTCCAGCGTGAGAGCCCACCTCCTCTCCTCCTGGCGAGGGGCGGTCGGGATCTAGGCTGGAATCCCGTTGGGCCAGATTCCTTCCCCAGGGGGGCGGGCAGCCGCTGGCCTTGGGGTTCAGTCCAGGCAGAGGAGCTGGGGGAGGAGGGTCTGCCTGAGGCCTCCCGGACCGAGCTGCCCGTCCAGCTCCCCGCTAGTGCACCTGGAAGGCGGTGGATGTTGGCCCAAGCTGAGCCCTCTGGGGCCCGGGCTCCACCTCTGGCACGGAAGCTGACTGCATTGTGGAAGGAGGCCCACTAAGACCACATTTGGGGGGCGGGGCCCATGTTGTGGCCTAGGGGATTAAGCCACCACCTGCGATGCCACATCCCATCCGCATCCCATCCTGCACCAGATGGAGTCCCGGCTGCTGCATGTCCCACCCAGCTCCTGCTAGTGCACCTGGGAAAGCAGCAGAAGATGGCCCGGGTGCTTGGGCCCCTGCACCCACGTGGGAGACCTGGAAGAAGCTCCTGGCTCCTGGCTTTGGCCTGTCTGAACTCTGGCCATTTGGGAAGTGAACCAGGGGGTGGAAGATATCTCTCTCTCTCTCTCTGTTTCAAATAAATAAATAAGCCTTTTCTTTTTTGCATTAGGAATTTTTATTTTCTCATTGAATAAAGAAGCCTCTTAAAAGGGACCTCCAAGGCAGGCCTGCCCTTGGCTGACACAGCTTCCCGGGCTGTGGGTCAAGGCGGGCGCCGGTGCAGGGCCAGCTGGGCCAGCCGGGCTGCAACCCAACCTTGAGCGTACGGGATCCAGTGTGGCCCTCTCCGCGCCCTCCCTAGTGTTTTTAGACTCTGCTTCTCAGGCCCTCCAGGGACCCCCAGCTATGCCAGGCTTCTCGTGTTTCCTGGGCACAGATAGACCAACAAGGCTCCCCTGGATTGGGTGCTGGGTGGTCTCGCTGGTTGGGAGACTTCAGAGATGCGCGTCCAGAAATAGGGCTCAAAACCCGCCCCTCCCAGGGTCGACCTGAGTCTGTGCTTAGAATTCAGCCTCAGCCGGCACCGCGGCTCACGAGGCTAATCCTCTGCCTGCGGCGCCGGCACACCAGGTTCTAGTCCCGGTTGCCCCTCTTCCAGGCCAGCTCTCTGCTGTGGCCCGGGAGTGCAGTGGAGGATGGCCCAAGTGCTTGGGCCCTGCACCCCATGGGAGACCAGGAGAAGCACCTGGCTCCTGCCTTCGGATCAGCGCGGTGCGCCGGCCATTGGAGGGTGAACCAACGGCAAAAGGAAGACCTTTCTCTCTGTCTCTCTCTCTCACTGTCCACTCTGCCTGTCAAAAAAAAAAAAAAATTAAGAAGACTTATTTATTTGAAAGGCAGAGTTAGAGATATTCCACCTGCTGGTTCACTCCCCAAATGGCTGCAACAGTAGGGGCCGGGCCAGGAAGAAGCCAGGAAAAGCTACGCCACAGTGCTGGGCCCTCCAAACTTTTTACACCGAGGTAAATCTCCCTCTTTATTCACTTTTCCCCATGAACTTTTTTTTTTTTTTTTTTTTTTTTTTGACAGGCAGAGTGGATAGTGAGAGAGAGAGACAGGGAGAAAGGTCTTCCTTTTCTGTTGGTTCACCCCCAGTGGCCGCTGCGGCCAGCGCGCCTCGCTGATCCGAAGCCAGGAGCCAGGTGCTTCTCCTGGTCTCCCATGGGGTGCAGGGCCCAAGCACTTGGGCCATCCTCCACTGCCTTCCCGGGCCACAGCAGAGAGCTGGCCTGGAAGAGGGGCAACCGGGACAGAATCTGGCGCCCCAACCGGGACTAGAACCCGGTGTGCCAGCGCCGCAAGGCAGAGGATTAGCCTAGTGAGCCGCGGCGCCAGCTTCCCGTGAACTTTTCAAATGTAGTTACTTGAAAGGCTTAGGGGTGGGGGGGGCATTGCACTTCCATCTGCTTGTTCACCCCCCAAATGCCTGCAACCCCAGGCCCGGCCAGGCCCGAGCCAGGAGCCCGGAACCCCGTCCAGGTCCTCACGAGGGTGGCAGGGGCTCAGGGACTTGAGCCATCACCTGCTGCCCCCAGGACTGCACCAAATAGGAAGTGGAGAAGCCACCAGGCCTCCAAGAAACAATGAGGGCCCCCTGAAGCGGGGCGCCAATGGCTGCACCAAACGCCTCTCTGTTCGTTGGTGAGCTGGCTGATATGTTTATCTGTTAGGCACTTGAAACACTTGTAAGCTTTATCTCATCTGTCTTCGCACACCCTCTCCCTTTGCCGGGAGGCGGGCACGTGCCCAGGGAGTGGTGGGGCGCCGCTGTGCCCCACCATGTGAGGACTGGCAGGGCCCGGCCAGGGCACCACCCTCTGGGTGCAGCTGAGTCCTGGTGCCCCTTTCCCTGGCCAGATTCCCGACATTCCTCAGATGACCAGACCGGTGCCGGGAGGTGGGACCATGGCCTGTCACCCAGGAAGGCCACTGACCGGGGTTCACTGCCCTGGGGGCTGCTATTTTTAGCAAAGTCCTTGGCTCCCTTATCTCACCGGAGACCTTGAATTCTAAGTCCTCTGCACAGCCAGGGGGACCCCAGCCTGTCCACGCCGGCCTCTGCTGACTCTCCCCAGCGCACGGGGCAGCCTCGTCAGAAGTGCCCCCTTGGTTTGTCTCCCTGTTAAACAAGATCACTGCTCCGGAGCCACTTCGACACGCACACGTGCACTCGTTCGTTACAGAGGTTACTGCTAGGGAGCAGCCCCACACCCGTGCTGCGGGGGCCAGCGCCCAGCCCACCCGGGAGGTCCTGCAGTTTTTATATTTCTCAGTCGCTCGCTTGCTTCCTTCCAGGCAGAGGCCAAAGAGGGGTGAGGGGCACGGGAGCCAGGAGCCTCAACTCCCCCCACCCCCCACCCCCGCCTGCGCTGGGGCCAAGGTGCATCCGTCAGGGTCACGCGGAGGCGGGCAGCTGACAGCGGCCACTCTGGCCCGTGGCCCCCGCGGCAGGGACGGTGCCCCGCCCGTCTCCTGAGCCTCAGCACCTCGGACAGGGAAACTGAGGCTGCGGGAGCCGTGTGCGGGGCTGGGTGCGGCCTGGAACCCGTCACCTGCTCCGCGCTTTCGGGCCTCGGTCTCCGGACCACGACCGTTCCTCCGGCCCGGGTTGGAAGGGGCGTGTAGGCGTCCCGCACAGGTCAGGCCGGAGCTGGGCAACGCCCTAAAAACACACCCACGGCCACCGCACGAGGCGCGGCCTCGCCCCAAGGTCACGCGGAGCGAGAACCCGGCCTCCAGGCGCCCGTTTCCTGCCCGCCCCGCGCGGGGCGCCCGGCCTCCCAAGCCGCGGGGCTCCCGACGGGGGTCCCAGCAAATGCCCAGCCCCCGCAGCCCATCCCGGGGGGCCTGCCCGCCTCGCCCGGCCGGAGCCCCGCGCCGCCCGGGAACCGCGCGCCGCCGCCCTCCACGCCCCGCGACCCCCGGGCTCCGGCCGCGGAGGCCCCGCCCCCTCCGCGCCGGCCCCGCCCCCGTCGGCCGGGGCGCCTCGGGCGGGGGGCGGCGCCGCAGCCAATGGGAGGGCGGCGTGGCGAGGGCGGCGGCGGTTGTGATGCGCCGGGGCGGCGGGCGGCGGCCAATCAGCGGCCGGCGTGAGGGCGGGCTGTGACGCGGCCGGCGCTCCTCGTGCGGCGGCGGCGGTAAAGGAGCGAGCCCCGCGGCCGGAGCGCCAGCTGCCCGTCGGCCCCGCAGCCGCCGCGCCGCCTGCCCGCCCGCCGGTCCCGGCTGCCCTCGGCCCGCGCCCCCGCCCCGCGCGCCTTCAGCCGCCGCCCGCCGCGCGCAGCCCCCGCCCGGTCAGCGAGCGGCCTCCCGAGGCGGGCGCGCGGCCGGACCCGAGCCTCGTCCTGCGGCCGCGCGGCCGGCATGAAGACCAAGTTCTGCACCGGGGACGAGGCGGAGCCCTCGCCGCTCGGGCTGCTGCTGGGCTGCGGCGGCGGCGGCGGCAGCGCGGCCCCGGCGCCCGGCGTCAGCGACCTCGAGCCCAAGCCGCCGCTCGCGCTGCCGCCGCCGCCGCCGCCGCCCCCGCCGCCGCCGCCGCCGCCCGCGGCCGACGAGCCGGAGCCCCGCACGCGGCGCCGGGCCTATCTGTGGTGCAAGGAGTTCCTGCCCGGCGCCTGGCGGGGCCTGCGCGAGGACCAGTTCCACATCAGTGTCATCAGGTCGGTGGCGGGGCCGCTGACGTGGGCCGGGCGGGGCGCGGGGCCCTCCTGGAGAACAATGCCGGCCGGCCGGCCGGAGCGCGCCCGGTGCGGCCGGGGGCGTCGGAAGCGCGCGCGGTCGCCGGGTTCGCCTGGTCGCCGGCGCGCCCCCCCCCCCGCCCACTCCTCCCCTGCAGGGGTCCCCGCCGCGGCCGGGAGGCGTGGCGACCCCTCCCCACGCTTCCCTCCAGCCGCGGCCCCGGGGTGTCCGGGTCCCCGTGGCCGGCGCCCCGGGTCCGTGCGGGCGGCCGAGGGGACCGGAGGATCCGCGTCCGAGCGGGGCGTCGGCTCCCGCACCCACGCCTCCCTCGCGCCGCGGCCACTTTCCCGTTCATTGGCTGAGCGGGTGGGTGCCGCCTGGTGACGCCGGCTGCTGGCGGCCCCCGGTCATCCTGCGTCCGGTTGGTCATTGGATTCCTGCTGGTGCCCACGGGGCGAGCGCAGCACCATGCACTCTTGGGGCTTTGGGTTCCAGGGGCCTGGGAGCAGACGCAGCAGAGGTGGTGGTGGGAACCGGAGAAGCAGCAGGCGCGAGATGTCTGGGTGATCCTTGGATTCCCTAACGGTGCTTCAGGAAGAAAACTCTCCAAAACTTGAACCCACGCTCGTCCGCGAGAGGCCACGGCTGAGCGGCACCCTTGAATGAACAGGGAGAAGCTTAGAGAGGAGTGGGCCCGGGGCTCCACGCCCTCCCCTCCCCAGGCCTGGGGGGCCTGGGCGGACACTCGGAGCCCCTGGGTCCAGCCTCAGGGCATCTCGGGCCTTCTGGTCAGACAGCCATTGCAGGAGCAGCGGGGGTCTGGTTTCTTTCCCCTGGAGACAGCTTTCCCTTTGGATTGGAGAACCTTCTTATTTTTTAAAGAGGGTTTTATTTACTCGAAAGCCAAAGTGACAAGTATTTTCCATCTGCTCTTTTACTCCCCACATGACCACAACAGCCAGGGCTCCGTCCGGGTCCCTCACGGGGTGGCGGGGCCCACGCGCTCGGCCGCCCTCCGCTGCCTGCCAGGGTGCATGCTAACGGAAGCTGGGTCAGCAGCAGAACTGGCACTTGAAGCTGGTGCCGCAGTGCGCGGCCGGTGCCTGCGGCGGCCCCAGGGAGAGCCTTTTAGAGACTGGTGTGTGCCTGTCTGTCCTGTGTCCTGGGAAGATACGGTTAGTGATGTGGTAAGGAGGGAAGGGGAGTTAGTGCCTGGGAAGGTGGGAGATGCCTTACTTTACAAACGGCAGGGGGCCGGCGCTGTGGCATAGGGGTAGCGCTGCCGCTTGCAGTGCCGGCCTCCGTATGGGCCCCTGGTTCAAGTCCCGGCTGCTCCACTTCTGATCCAGCTCTCTGCCGGGGCCCGGGATAGCAGCGGAAGATGGCCCTGCACCTGTGTGGGAGACCTGGGGGAAGCTCCTGGCTTTGGATTGGCGCAGCTTCGGCATTGGGGCCCATTAGGGAGTGAACCAGCGGATGGAAGACCTCTCTCTCTCTGCCTTTCCCCTCTTTGTAACTCTTTCAAATAAATCTTTAAAAAAAAAACCCAAAAACCAAAAATGGCAGGGAGCCAGCATTGCCGCCTGTGACATCGGCATCCCATGTTCCCACGTGGGTGCCAGTTGGAGTCCCGGCTGCTCCACTTCTGATCCAGCTGTTAGCCTGCGAAAGGCAGTGAGGGCAGCCGGCGCTGCGGCTCAACAGGCTAATCCTCCGCCTGCGGCGCCGGCACCCCAGGTTCTAGTCCTGGTCCGGGCACTGGATTTCACTCTCTGTCTCTCTCTCTCACTGTCCACTCTGCCTGTCAAAAAAAAAAGGCGTGGGAGATGACTTGCTGCCCACGTGGGAGCCCCCGATGAAGCTCCTGGCTTCGGCCTGGGCCAGCGCTGGCTGTTGTGGACATCTGGAGAGTGGACCAGCAGATGGTCGATCTTTCCCTCTGACTCTCAGATAAATAAGTCTTCTTTGAAAACGGTGGAAAAGGCCGTTGGAGGAGGTGGGGTTCACTGGAGTGGTGGCATTTACTGTGGCGTACGGACGCTTCCTCTCCGTCTGTCTGCTCCAGCTCTTGTCCATCTGCTTGTTAGAGGTCGAGCCTCTACCTGTCCCGTTTACCCGCCTCCTGCCCACCTTGGAATACGCTGCCGCCTTTCCCCTGGCAGTTATTTCAGACCAGGTGGTAACCAAGACCCTAGACCTGGTGAGCTACCTCTGCACCCACACCTGCCTGTCCCCTTGGCTTCTCCAAGGCCCGGAGGCCCGGCCTGCTGCCCTGGGGACACCTGTGCCCTCTGCCTTCTCCATGTCTCGGTCCCGCCCCCAGGGGTTGCTGGGATGCCTCAGCTGTCGGTGCTCCTGTGACCTGGCCAGCTGGAGAGTGGCATCCAGATTGGGTGCAGACTTTACACCCTGGGCTCCGGCTGTGTCCTTCCTGTTTCAGGATTCGCCTCCCCCCCCCTCGGGTGCGGCAGCTGCGCCGCCAGGCCCTTGCCCCTGCCCGCTGCTGGGCAGCCTTCCCCCGGGTGGGGTCTGCTTCACGGCCCTTCCTGCAGGCCTCGCGCGGACCCCGACAGCGGTCTCTCTCCTCTGTGTTTCCCCCAGCTCTTCACAGGCAGGCGGGCTTTGACCACTGGCCGCTCTGTGTGCAGGGGTCCATCCTGCTCTCCCAGGAGATGGGATTCCTGTCGTGTCAGGTGCCTGCCACCCAGGCCCTGTGGCTGAGCTGGCCTCTCTGCCGAGGGAGAACTGGAGACGTGTCACCAGGGGCTCGGTGGCTGGGTGCCAGCGAGGAGTGGAATAAGGAAAAACAAAGTGAAAATTATGAGTGCACTGGTCGTTTAGAAAATATGCCCATGCTGAGACAGCACAACTGATCTCCGTGCCTGCGAGTCGCGGCGAGGGGTGGTTGGCTGGTTTACCGGCTCTCTGACCGGTGAAGCAGGCACAGTCACTTGTGAAACTGCAGATTTGCAGAAAGGTGCCACACTGCCCGGAAGTTTAATGCGAGAAGTGTTTGAGAACGGTGAACAAGGGTCACCCCATGCACACAGCAGAATGGCGGAGGAGGGGTTACAGCCCCAGCGGGACACCGCCATCGAGGCATCTGAAGGCGAGGGAGCCCGAGAAGGCCGAGAAGCCCTCAGGTGCCTTCTTGGCAAGACGACGAGGCAGAAGTCAGTGAACTGTGTCTCGTGGTGGCATCCCGAGTATTTGGGAAAATTATGCCAAAGCTCCCTCCTTTTTTTTTTTTTTTTTTTTTTTTTGACAGGCAGAGTTAGAGGGAGACAGAGAGAAAGATCTTCCTTCCGTTGGTTCACCCCCCAGTGGCTGCTGCGGCCGGCGCTGCGCCGATCCGAAGCCAGGAGCCAGGTGCTTCTCCTGGTCTTCCATGGGGTGCAGGGCCCAAGCACCTGGGCCATCCTCCACTGCACTCCCGGGCCACAGCAGAGAGCTGGCCTGGAAGAGGGGCAACTGGGACAGAATCCGGCGCCCCAACCGGGACTAGAACTCGGGATGCTGGCGCCGTAAGGTGGAGGATTAGCCTAGTGAGCCGCGGTGCCAGCCTGATTTGTTATTTTTTTATTTTTTTAATCTTTGTGTATTTTTTTTAAGATTTATTTATTTGAAAGAGTTACACAGAGAGAGGTAGAGACAGGGAGGTCTTCCATCTGCTGGTTCACTCTCCCGTTGGCTGCAACGGCCAGAGCTGCGCTGATCCGGAGCCAGGAGCCAGGCGCTTCTTCCGGGTCTCCCACGCGGGTGCTTAACTGGCCTCCTAGCCGCCAGGCTGCACCCCTCCTGAGAGTTTGGGTGTAGGATTTTGTCAGGCTTTTGTGCACGCAGTGGTAGTGCCGTGGATTTGCTCCTGTGGCTTGTTGAGCAGGGCTCACTCGGTTGGTTTCTCACTTGAGTTTGCAATCCTGTGGTTAGGTCCCAGGCTCGTGGTGAGCCGTGTCCCTGGGCTCTGCCTGTGCTCTTAGTCTCCCCTCCCTGCCGTCAGGTGGGACAGGCTGACCCGAGGGACTTAGAGTTGCGTACTTGCCACCACCCAACTCCTTCAGGCTTTGAGAAAACCCCGGCAGGTTAGACTCTGGCAAAATGGTCTCTCTCAAAAACGGCTCAGGACCTGGTGCTCTGGGGCTGCAGGTTAAGCTGCTCCATGTGACGCGGGCACCCCGTACCTGAGTGACGGTTTGAGTCCTGGGGCGCTGCTTCCCATCCAGCTCCCTGCTAATGCACCTGGGAAGGCAGCGGAGGACTGGCACCCATGTGCACCCATGTGCACCCACATGGGAGCCAGGGACAGTGGCCCTGGCTCCGGCTTTGGTCTGGCCGAGCCCTGGCTGTTGGAGGTATTTGGGGAGTGAACCAGCAGATGGAAACTGTCCCTCCCCCTCTCTCTGTCACTCTGCCTTTCAAATAAATAGATGATAAAAAATGGCTTGGCATGTGGCATAGCAGTGAAGATTCCAGTTGGAACGCCCATCTCCCAGGTCTGGGCGTCTGGATTTGAGCTCCCGATTCCAGCTTCCTGTTAAGGTGCACACTGGAGTGCAGCAGGTGATGGCTCAAGTGATGTGGTCCCTGCCACCTTCCCAGGAGACCTAGGTCGAGTTCCAGCTGCTGGCCTCACCTGGCCTGCCCTGACCTGGCTGTCTAGGCGCCTGGGGAGGGAGCCAGGGTGGGGGAGCACTCTCTCTGGCTCTCAGGCGAATGAAATACGGTGACGGGCAGTCTTGAGCCTGCCGGGAGCAGGCCGTCCCCAGAACTTGGCCGGTCACGTTTCTTTGCTTCCAGTTCTTTCGTGTCCACAGACAGAACCACAGACGTGCCTTTTTAGATGGGCCTCCCTGTGCCAGAAGCACGGAGGCAGTTTCTCCAGTGTCCCAGTGGCCTGGAATCCTGGAGGTGAAACACAAGTGAGTCCCCACGACTCCCGTGATTGGATCCGCTGGGGGCGGTGCGAGCGAGCGCGCAGAGAGAGAGAGAGAGAGGTAGATGTGGTGGATCATCCCTCTGCTGGTTTGCTCTTCAAGTGCCTGCAACAGCCGGGGCTGGGCCAGGCCGAGTAGCCAGAACTCAAACAGTCCGATTTGGGATGAGGGCGGCCCGAGCAGCGGCGCCCCTGCCCCCACCCGCGCCTGCCGGAGTCCGTAACCTCGGGCTGCCACCCCCAGCTGCAGCACGTCCTCAGGTGCAGTTCCTGTGGAGGTCTCTGCCCCTGTCCACTTTGGACGGCAGTTTGTCTGTGACCCGGCTTCAGCGGCCTGGGGGCTGGGCGGGGCTGTAGCAGTGGGACCTGGAGCTCTGAGGTTCCTGACCCTGAGAGGTAGGTGGAAGGTGGAAGGGGCTTGCGGGGGACGAGAGCAGGCAGAGGAAGGCTATCTTGTGCATGTTAAGGATAGTGGCTGGAAATTCATGTGTTAGGAACCTGTTCCTGCGTGACCCGGGGGGTGGCTTAGAGGGGAAAGACAAAGCTGTGGGGATCAGAGCCCTAGCTTGGGGCTGGCGCCGTGGCTCACTTGGCTAATCCTCCGCCTGTGGTGCCGGCATCCCATATGGGCGCTGGGTTCTAGTCCTGGTTGCTCCTCTTCCAGTCCAGCTCTCTGCTGTGGCCCGGGAGTGCAGTGGAGGATGGCCCAAGTGCTTGGGTCCCTGCACCCGCATGGGAGACCAGGAGAAGCACCTGGCTCCTGGCTTCGGATCGGCGCAGCGCCGGCCATGGTGGCTACTTGGGTGAACCAACGGAGGGAGGACCTTTCTCTCTCTCTCTCTCTTTCTCTCTCACTCTCACTGTCTATAATTTTCTCTCTCTCTCTCACTAACTCTGCCTGTCAAAAAAAAAAAAAAAAAAAAAAGCCCTAGTGGGGCTTGGGGAGCCCCCAGCTCGACTGGGTACAGGTTCTGGGCTTCCTGCGTGGAAGGACGCAGCCCGACGAGGTGGAGATGAACAGAACAGGGTCTGCTGAAGGCGCAAAGACAGCACGGCCTCAGCTGTGGCTGCAGGGGCAGAAGCCCAAGCACACGCGGGCCGTCACCCGCTTCCAGGCGCGTTACAGGAAACTGTCGGAAACACGGGGTAGCTAACCGGGCACTGAGCACGGCACGCCCTGCAGGACCCGGGTCAGCCCCTCTTCCCGCAGGAAGAACTGAGGTGGGTGTGGTGCGGGGGTCAGGCTCAGCCCGGGACGTCGTGCCCCACAGCGTGCTTGGGATTGAGCCCGCCTCTGCTTCCCATCCAGCGTGCTGCTGACGTGCCAGGAAGCGGGCCTTTGTACCCACGTGGCGTCTGCGTGGTTTCTGGCTGGTGGTCTTGGAGTGAACCAGCAGATGGAAGACCGTTCTCTGGTCCTGGCACTCCTTCAGATAAAGCAGGGAAAGGAGCTACCCAGCCTCAAGGTGTCCCGAGGATGAGCCGCCTGGAGGTGGAGGACCGCTGGGGGTCTCCGCCACCTTCTGGCATCTTCAAGGTTAGACCGGTGCTGGCCGCGCACAGCTGGTAGTCCTGTCCCACGCAGTCGTGAGGTTCTCGTCCACTGTTGTAGGGGAGATGACGGGCCTGCAGGCCCAGGTCACACAGCTCCTCTGTGGTGAGCTCAAGGCTGTTCCTTGAGTGCCCCAGAGCTGGGCTGAGACACGGCTCAGGACTGCTCCCGGAGAGCCGCCGCGGTGCCGCCCTGCTTTGCGCCGGGGTTTCAAGCTGAATTGTACGTGGCTAGAAGACATTTTGCAAAAAGTCACTTTTTTCTCACTCCCCGCGCGCTCTGAATTCAGCAGCTGTTTTGGTATTGTGTTGCCTTCTGTTTCCGTGTCGCCAGCCTGTGGCTTTAGGATCGTGTTTCTGCAGACACACTGGCTGTGCTGGGAACCTTCCTTGTAGTCGTTTTGACTGTAGCTGGTGCTCTGGAGGCTTCTAGACAGCCGTGCTGTGTTTTCCTCTGGGGGCCAGCCCCTGGCTTTGGGGGCCAGTCCTGTGTGGGCTGGGCTGCGTGCTCTGGGTTGTTGGCATAGATTTGGGTGGCATTTTGCTTTTAAGCGAAACACAGTTGGTTAGCTGTAGACCAGCTAACTTCCCATTTTAATTTAGCAGGTGAAAATCTTGGTGGTACAGGTCAGTCTGGAGTAGCCAGCTCCCCAGGCTTAACATCCGCCTGAGTATTTTTTTTAAAGATTTATTTATTTCTTCAAAAAGCAGAGCCAAGAGATGGGGAGAGAGAAGTTCCTCCGCTGGTTCACTCCCCAAGTGGCCACAACAGCCTGGGTTGAGCCAGGCGCTCCGCCCCGTCTCCCACAGGAACGGCAGGGCTCCAAGGACGCGGGTCATGTGCTGCTGCCGCCAGCGCCCTGCTGGGAGCTGCGCTGAGCCGAAGAGCTGGGAGTCGCACTGGCTCTCCGGTGGGGGTGCTGGCGGCGGCTTGCCCACCTGAGCCACAGCCGCGGCCCCTGCCTGACTGTTGCGCTGACTCACCTGCACGTGAACCCTTCTCCAAATTATTAAATAGTGTAGACGACGGGTAGAGTGCCGTCTCTCCAGGGCTTGGGCAGTCCACCAGCGGGTGCGGCATCGTAGCGTGGATTTTTCCTACTTAGAATGCCAAAGAGTGTAGAGGAATGAATCTCTGCAGACTTGCCAGGTCTACAAATAAAGGATGTAAACCGTTTCTAAAGCTATCGAAGTCCATGTTGCTCAATTAAAACTGCGTTTTAGAGTAAACCACTAACGGGATTTTGAAGCATCGGAAGCTCTGGATCCTTCAAGGAAGTGGGGAGAGACCCGGGCAGGAGCTGCCGTTTCCCGCGAGTGTGCTGCTGCAGACGTCGGTCAGCGAGGGCTGCTGTGCCAGAGGGAGGACAGCGGGCGCTGGCGGGCACCGCCTGCTGGGGCTGTGGGGAACCTGGGCGGTAGAGGCTGGAGCTGACCGCCGGCCGGCCCTGGAGCCCTGCAGAGCTCGGAGCTCAGAGCGGGAGGGACCCGTCGCGACTGAATGCCGCGGCCGGCTTCCCTGGTGTCCTGGTTCACTGTGCCCGGTGATGTGGTCCTTGAGATACTCTTGTATTATGTTGATTTTCATGGAAGAATTTATTTCTGTTAATGCACATTCAAGACAGACTATTTGTGCATTTTATTTGTGCAAATACTTGAAAAAGTGAGCCACTGAAAGAAAAAGTCATTTTGACCCAAAACTTCACAAGCAGTTAGTTTCTGTGGGATAGAGTTCACTCGGCGGTCAGAGGTAGTTATGATCTGTTCCTCTGTGAAGGCACAGGCTGGGTGTGCGGTCAGCCTGTGCCAGGCTTCACGGTGCTGGTCGAGCAGTTGTGTCTGCTCGCTGCTGTTTGTTGGTCTGGGGGTTGGGAGGTCTGGAAGACGTTGCTGAGTTAGATTTGACTTCCTTGTGGATGCCAAGTCTAATTAGAATCTCTGAGGCCGGCGCCGCAGCTCACTAGGCTAATCCTCTGCCTGCGGCGCTGGCACACCGGGTTCTAGTCTCGGTCGGGGCGCCAGAATCTTTCCCGGTTGCCCCTCTTCCAGGCCAGCTCTCTGCTGTGGCCTGGGAGTGCAGTGGAGGATGGCCCAGGTGCTTGGGCCCTGCACCCCATGGGAGACCAGGAGAAGCACCTGGCTCCTGCCATCGGATCGGTGCAGTGCTGGCCATAGCAGCCATTTGGGGGGTAAACCAATGGAAGGCAGACCTTTCTCTCTGTCTCTCTCTCTCTCACTGTCTATAAGTCTCTCTCTGTCTGTCTTACTGTCTAACTCTGCCTGTCCAAAAAAAAAAAAAAAAAAAGAATCTCTGAGCTTTTAAGAAGCCTGGTGACTTGAGAGTGAGGTGGGGGAGGGGCTGGGAGGCCTTTTGAGCCTCCTTTGTTTCAGAAAGTCTGCAGAAAAATGGGAATTAAAGATAAGTGAATTTTGGCACAAAAGATTTGAAATCCATGCTTAGTTTCTCATAATACATATTTTTCATGAACTTTTTTTTTTTTTTTTTTGACAGGCAGAGTAGACAGAGAGAAAGGTCTTCCTTTGCCGTTGGTTCACCCTCCAATGGCCGCCACGGCCAGCGCACCGCGCTGATCCAAAGCCAGGAGCCAGGTGCTTCTCCTGGTATCCCATGGGGTGCAGGGCCCAAGCACCTGGGCCATCCTCCACTGCACTCCCGGGCCACAGCAGAGAGCTGGCCTGGAAGAGGGGCAACCGGGACAGCATCCGGCGCCCCGACCGGGACTAGAACCTGGTGTGCCCGCGCCGCAAGGCAGAGGATTAGCCTAGTGAGCCACGGTGCCGGGCCCACTGGTTTTCTCCCCAGGTGCCTACAACAGCTGGAGCCGGGCTGGGCTGAACATCAGGATCGGGAATGCAATCCGTGTTTCCCGCACGGTGGCAGGAAGCCAGTACATGAGCATTACGCAGCTTCCAGGGTCTGCGCTGCCAGGGGGCTGGAGCAGGGAGCAGACCTCCGACGTGGGCTGGGCGTCCTAACTCCTAGGCGCGCAGCCCCTATTTTGGACTGGCGTGGTGGTGTGGCAGGTAAAGCTGTCGCCGGCGCTGGCATCCCATATTGGCGCTGGTGTGTGTTGGCTGCTCTGCTTCCCGTTCAGCCGCTGTTAGTGGCCTGCCAGAAGCAGTGGGGGTGGCTCAGGCCTGGCTGAGGCAGCTGAGGAGTGAGCCGGCGGGTGGAAGACCGATCTCTCGCGCTCTCTCTCTTTCAGAATAAATGAATGATTTTTAAAAATAAATCTTTAAAAAAATATATTTTGGGGCCAGAGCTGTGACCGGGAGCTTCTTCCAGGCCTCCCACATGGGTGCAGGGGCCCAAGCACCTGGGCCATCTTCCGCTGCTTTC